TCTGTTGTTTTTATAAAAAGAAAATTCGTTTTGTAATGACCATCGCAGAAAGGGTCAATATCATGTTTTCCTGAATGTTGTCATATTTACAACAAAGGTAATGATACTCGTTCTGAAATGTGGAAATTAAAAAAAAAATATTTGAAACGCTTGTGAATGAGTAAGAAATTATTGCAGCTCTCGTATCTTTTTCGACTAGTTCGATTATTCTCGAGAAATTTTAGCCTTAGGGGAACAAAACGGGGCGATGGAGAAAGAGCAGGTTTACCGAAAACTGAGCAGTTCATAAGCATCTTTTGTTTGTGACGTCCTATTTCTTTAAGGTTACTCGACCAAAAAGAAATGTAAGTGGAGAAAAAAACGTACACATCGTTGATAAGGCAGATCAGAAAAGGCCGGCGTTATCGGCTTCAACTTGAGCGGCGATAAAATCGGCTTTTTGAAGCAAAATTGGAAAATGAACGACGAAGAGAAAAAGAATACACACACACACACACACACACACACACAGTACGTGTGTATGTACGTATGAATGTATGTAAATTACTATATTTCCATTGACGGTCTATTTACTTTAATGTTTCAATAAAACACGTTAGTCGAACTGTTTACTTTGTTCATGTTCAATTGGTGCGTTTTCCGTGTTTTCTCAGATGCCTTTTGCATTTTGTAATCTTCAAGTCTCGTCACGCGATTTTTTTTTCATTCTACCCATATTTTGTCACTTCTTAAATTGAGACACAAGCGCGATCCTCAAAGATTTTTGTTGCTGACCATATACAGTGTATTCATTTGGGAAAAAAATCTCTTTCTCTCTTTATACAAACATACATATAGGAGAATATAACATAACCTTTCCTATATATCAGAACAATGTCAGACAATTGAATAACAAAGTGGAAAAATACTGTGTAACACGTTTCGTCTTTTAGATATTCACTAATGAGTGAACATAATTTCGATTTAAAAAAAATGCTACTTTAAATAAAAGAGAAAGCAATTTACTAAAGCGAAAATATATAAAAAGAGCACTGATTGCTAAAACATCCACGGTAAATTATAACTGACATTCACGTTTATATCTTCCCCTCCCTCTCTTATAAACACATAATTCCATCAATAAAACCCTGAGTCCGATGAAGTTTTTTTCTAGAGGACTGAACGTGTTACGCAGAATTTTTCCACTTTTTCATTAAATTGCCTAATATAGTGTCCCCACCCTCACCAAAATGGCATCATTTGAAATGTGAATATCTGAGGCACTATATGTCCGAGGTAAACGAAATTATATAGGCTTCATATTGAACAATAAAAGATTTATTTATCAAAAATCGAATATTATATTCTAAGGCGAGTCGATTTTATAACCGATTTCAAAAAGCTTCACAAATGTTTAATTTGCTCACCATCAAATCGGTAGTCGAGCTCCTGCCGAACACGCTGTAGCATGTCTTGCGTTACATTTTCCAGCGTCTCAGTGATTCTAAGTTTAAGTTCCTCGAGGCTTGTAAGAATAGGGGAGATATAGACCTATCCTTCCATATAGACCCATAGAAAAAATCACAAAGTGTCAAGTCAGGTGAATGTGGTGGTCATTTCAAAAGCACGTTGTCATTATCACTGGCATGCCCGATCCATCTTCCTGGTAGATTCTCATTGCGATAATTCCGCATAGTTAAATTAGTTTTATAGATTTTGTTAAAATTTGAGATCATTTGAGCGAAAATTGGCTACAAATTGATGTCAGATTTATTTTGTATACCTATATATATATATATATATATATATATATATATATATATATATATATATATATGTTCAGTTACATGGATATGAGTTTTGACCCTGGGTTTTACGCTTTTGCGATCATCAGACAAATTAAGAGTTTGTCTGATGATCAAAAGCGTGAAAACCAGGATTATCTAAACTCATATCCATAAAACTGATATGTTAGCTCTATCATTGATATTGAGCGCTTTCCATAAAAAAATATACTATATATACATATAATATATATATATATATATATATATATATGAAGAAATATACTCTTAGGTGTGCTATATTTATGGGATAAAGTGCTCAATATCAGAGATAGAGCGTGTGTAAATATAAAAATGAACATGGTAATCAAACTTAGAAACGACAGACTGTTTCATGCTAGATGCAATCGGCAGGCCACGATTGCGTCTAGCATGAAACTGCCTGTCGCCTAATGTTTCTCTTTTATATATATATATATATATATATATATATATATACAGTGTAACGGATATAAGAGAGTTGTCGGGACCGGAGAAGAAGTCTCTTATATCCGGGTTTCTCTTATATCCGGGTCTCTTATATCCGGGTTACACTGTATATATATATATATATATATATATATATATATATGATATTAGTGGATATATATTCAGAAGAGACTCTAGGAGTCGGGCTAGCCAAGTAGCCCAACTGCCAAGTGTATTTATTTCAAACCAACAAAAATATCTGAGAAGTCATTCATTCTTGAATTTGGTTGAACCTAAAGTCGTGACAAGACTCACCAAGAAGAAAATAATCTTGAATTCTTTTAGTTTACCACTAAGTTTACTTTACTTTATAGTTTTGTTTTAACTTCATACTCTAAAATGTTAACTTAAATAAATATTGTTAAATGTGTTCATAAGAAGAAAATAAATGACGCGGCTAGCAACTGAGGGTAGTGATTAAATGGCCGAAATATTTCAGCCCAATATGGCCAAAAGAAAATACTTCTGAGAGCATGACTCAGATGAGCAACATTTCTGAATGGATTATAAAGAATCTTTTAAAATCTCAAAGGATTTTGATTCTCTTTTACAAAGAATAATTTTTTGGTTCATCAACTTCATAGCTTTAAATCTTGACTTTCTATTCATTTTTTTCTGTTTATTATAATATTAAAGGAGATAAAAAAGCAAAAAAAAAAAAAGAAAGAAAATATGAAAACAGATAAGTAGGATGAAAAAAAATGCCCGAGTGAAAAAAAAAAACGTTTTTATGGCGTGTATATGTGTAGGCGTGTATGTGTGTGTGTGTGTGCGTGTTTGGTTTGTGTGCGTACACGTGCATGTTGTTACCAGGGCCGGTGCGTATTACCTCTGAAACCCCCGACTAGGGAAGGGGTCTCCTGATTCGGGTCCCCGGGCAGTGCTTAGTGACCCGCGGCATCTTATCAACATTTGCTTTGTTTCTATCTACATATACGTTACAAATTAAAGTAAGAACAAATGACTCTTAAAGGATGAATCATTTTTGAGGATTTTGACATCATTCGAAGTTTTTTTTTTTTTTTTCTCGTCTAAATCCGTAAATTTGTTTTGCTTATGCTAAAGTCTCGAAAAAACACTATATAAAATTCACTAAATTTTGTCCGTAAAATGATCTCATACATGAAACAGACTGTCGGCTCTGGGTGTTGACTTCAATGTCTACTTTTATATATATAATCATTAACCTCTATATTTATTTTTTGTATGAATGATTCATGTAATTATAAATTAAAATTGCACCTATAATCGAAATTAAAATAACTGATCCAACGTGCAACTTTCGGATAATAAGTGTGACATTCCTGTAATTATTGAACAATATAGTTCATGCCACATTGACGGAAAACCTACCGGTAAAAAAGAATTCTCTTATTACTATATTTGTACAAAAACGCACAACCTTAAAATTTAAAATTCAAACTCAGCGTTGCGACCGCACGTTCCAAAACAATAACACATTTCTCATAGCATTTTTCGGATTACATCTCTATTTTCGTTGTCCTCTTATTACCGAGAAGTAAAAAACAAGAACAAATCTATTTCCATACCTGAGGATGTCTGTAGGAACAGACGAAAGCTTGCAAAAACGGAAAAAGACCTTATGAAACTGGAATTTATAAACAGGGATCATATCATTCATATACAGGTTCGGGGTTAGTGTACCTTATTGAAATTGTTTGCGAAGATGTATTCTCGCCATTTAAATCATTAACCTCTATATTTGTTTTTTGTATGAATGATTCATGTAATTATATATATATATATATATATATATATATATATATATATATATATATATATATATATCCCATTACCTAAATTACTATTCTAATGTCTGGTCACTAAAATACTGAAAACTGAGAACTTTTCAGCACCTCTTCGTATAAATTCAGAAAGACGTAATCTTTGGCATTCTCATCGGTGTATTCAAAATAATCCCGATCTGTGAATTAAATAGTCATCACTAGTTTCTTTGTTATTTGTGTTGATCGAAAGGATTTTTAATAAATATTGCACGAATTTCAGTCTCTCTATATTTGTGACATTCTAACATTGAAAAATCCTTTCGCTGATATAAAAGGGTGCTGAAAATTTCTTGAACTAAATCACTATCTAAACATTTTACCAAATGACCAAAATTATTAAAATTTTGGGGGTCAGGTGGAAAGGATTTTTGTTCAGCTCGAGACGTTTTCGGTACTTGTTCGTTACATTCCGACCCAGAAACTCACTTGAAAACTTTATTTAATCGTAGATTGATAGGGACAGTTTCAACAAATAACAGCTACGCCTTGATACGATATTTGTCAAAAGAAGTGTTCATGTTGTATTAAGATAGGCGATATTTTTTTTTTTTTTTTTTGTGCGCGCGATTGCTTGAGCCGAAGACAGTTTGTTGGAATTGTCAACAAGTTGATGGAAACTTAGCTCATTTAATCTTTTGAACTGTTCCAATTGCAACATAAAATTGGTTCTTATGGATTGACAAGTTGCTTACGCACGTCGAACAACGTTTTATATGTAGAACAGTCGATGATAAAGAGTAGATAAGAGGTGTGGAGGCGTAAACAAGTGGACGGACGACGCAGTTGAAGGACGTTGAGAAACAGGCAGATTAAAGAACGACTAAAACGAAGATTATTGGGAGAAAAATTGAGTCATAAATCAGCAGTATCACATTGCACATAACAGATATAATTCTTCCAGTTCACTTACGGAGGCGTCACTTCAAATATCTATCTATCTATCTATCTATCTATCTATCTATCTATCTATCTATTTGAGGCTATATCTATCTCTGTGTTTGTTACTTCTTGTTTCTATCGCAACCGACTTATGAATTCTTTCTTTCTTTCTTTCTTTCTTTCTTTCTTTCTTTCTTTCTTTCTTTCTTTCTTTCTTTCTTTCTAGGCCTACGATGTTTCTTTCTTTATCAATCTTTCTTTCTTTCTTTCTTTCTTTCTTTCTTTCGGCCTGAGTCTATTTATATCTATCTCGGTGTTCGTTACTTCTTGTTTCTATCACAATCCACTTATAATTTCTTTCTTTCTTTCTTTCTTTCTTTCTTTCTTTCTTTCTTTCTTTCTTTCTTTCTAGGCCTACGATGTTTCTTTCTTTATCAATCTTTCTTTCTTTCTTTCTTTCTTTCTTTCTTTCTTTCTTTCTTTCTTTCTTTCTTTCGGCCTGAGTCTATTTATATCTATCTCGGTGTTCGTTACTTCTTGTTTCTATCACAATCCACTTATAATTTCTTTCTTTTCTTTCTTTCTTTCTTTCTTTCTTTCTTTCTTTCTTTCTTTCTTTCTAGGCCTACGATGTTTCTTTCTTTATCAATCTTTCTTTCTTTCTTTTCTTTCTTTTCTTTCTTTCTTTTTCTTTCTTTCTTTCTTTCTTTCTTTCTTTCTTTAGGCCCACGATGTTTCTTTCTTTATCAATCTTTCTTTCTTTTTCTTTTTTCTTTCTTTTTCTTTCTTTCTTTCTTTCTTTCTTTCGTTCACCCAATCAATCTGTTCACATAGACACAATGTTACATACAAATCTATCTAGCCTAATCTCCCGAAATGCAAATCCAATCAATGTGATTCTGTCGCATGTGATCGACCGGCCATGTCGCCAACCATCAGCACCTTTCCAACGCGAAGAGACACGATTCGCACATGACGTGTAATTTTTTATCAGGTGTCGAGAGCAGCTGCCAATCTTCGTCAGATAAAACGCAGCCTCCTTGGGGACAGCATGATAAATCTTCGTTGCACCTTTTTTGGCAATGTTCGTTCCACATCCAAACACATACTACCCCAACCATCTTGTCTCGTTGTTAATAGCAGGATACTCTAATCGTGTGGAAATAGTTACATGCGGTCGTACGTATTATGACATCAGCTTAGAGAAACTTAGAATATCTACGTGTGCATTCAACCTCTCTGCGAAAGCACATACGCACACATACACACAAACACGTCCAGTACCTACTTGTATACACTTCTTGTATATATATATATATATATATATATATATGTATGTATGTATATATATAAAGACGTGATAGAAAGTTCTCGGCACACCCATTTCCAAAATTCTAACCAAATGATCAATTGTCAGGTTTGTCTTAGAATCACAAATTTTATCTTGGTCGGGTAAAGAACTTTTCAGCAAGTCATTGTTCATTCTTATATATATATATTCAGTTGTATGGATATGAGTTTGTGACCCTGGGTTTCACTCTTTTACGATCATCAGACAAAGTGGTTTATTTTTTAAAAATTGAATCTATTTATGTTTGTTTGTTTTTGATTATGTTTGGTGGTGGGAGGGGCAAATTCTCCTCTGTGTTCGTTCGGGGTGACACTCTCACACGCACAAACATGCATACATACAGGTGTACGCATTTTAGTTCACACAAACACACTCATATAAACATGTGATTGCAAAAGCGTGAAAACCAGAGTCACAAACTCGTATCCATACAACTGAATATGTTAACTCTATCACTGATATTGAGCACTTTCCAATAAGTACTGCTCATATAAAACATATATATATATATATATATATATATATATATATATATATATATATATATATATGTTGAACCTGAAATTGTGCAAGTTATTAGTACATCCAGGAAGACTAGCTGATTATTATTTACATCTTTCCATTAAGAACTGAATAGAACTGGGTTTCCATGGTCCATCAGTATTTGTAAAACTTCCTGAGGCAGCCAGAGGATGAGGGTTTCATCTACGTATCTCAGTCATACTGTTGGCTTTAGTGGTGCCGTTTCTAAGCCCATTTCCTCAAAGTATCAAATGTTGGCTATCACTGGCGACAACGGTAAACCCATAGACACGCCACCTTCCGACTCTAGATAGAAGAATGTTGTCTGTACCCAGAACATCAACATTTCCATCAAATTATCTACTGGAATGTTAGTACGTTCTCTTAGAGAGGAGTCTGATTCCAATCGGCTTCGAAGCACTATCAGGATGTAGGAACTCTGGTGAAGAGGCCTACCACATCCAAAATTACCACCCGATTGTTGTGCATGGGAACTCTATAGACCAGTTTCACAAAGTGTTCTGAGTTTCTAACATGATGAGGACTTACCTGTTAGTGAGTTGACTATATCCACGAGGGATCTGCTCAGCGGGTGGGATGCTGAGCCCCTGCAGCTGACTATAGTTCTCAATGGAATACCAACCTTGTAAATCTTGGGGATACCATACATGTGCGGCTGCTTGGTGTACAGTTGAATCAGCTGTTTGTACTTATTCGGTGCGTAGTAATCTTTTTTCTATTTATGATTTGTGACAGCTTTGTCTCAGTTTTTAGGGTCGGATCCTTTTTCACTTTGCGATAGCTGCCACCCGCTAAGCTAACAAACGCAACGCTTCAGTTGTGAGGGGCAAGTTTGAATACTCCAAAAGATTGGCTAGCCTAGTTGGGGATGGCAGCTATCCCAAAATGAAAAAAAGGACCCAACCTTAAAAACTGAAACGAAACTGTTACAGTTTTTAAATAAGAACAATTAGATTTTATTCAGATTAAAAGTGGTTCAGATTATTGGAATTGTAGCTGTTCCTATATAAGCAAATAAATAAGCATTTATTCCTTCATTTACACCCACATACACACACAGGCACACACATGCACACACACACACACACACATATATATATATATGAAGAAATATAATTTTAAGGTGTGCTATATTTATGGGATAAAGTGCTCAATATCAGAGATAGAACGTATGTAAATATGATATATAAAGTGAACATTGAAGTCAACACTCAGAGGCGACAGGCTGTTTCATGCTGGACGCAATCGTCAGGCGGCCAGGCGATTGCGTCCAGCATGAAACAGCCTCTCGCCTCTGAGTGTTGGACAATGCTTCACAGACACACACACACAAACACACACACACATATATATATATATATATATATATATATATATATATATATATATATATATATATATTACATGAATCATTCATACAAAAAGTAGATTAGTAAAGTTAATGATATAAATGGCGAAAAACATCTTCGCAAACAAACTTATTATTACTTACAGCCATCCTCAGGCATGGAAATTAATTTTTTTTTTTAGTAAATCCAGGTATTAGCGGGTCACGAAAGATTAAATGTTAATCGAAATATTTTTTTTAGAAATGTGTTATTATTAAGAAATTTGATTAAAAAAGAAATGATCCGACGTGCAAATTTTCGGGATAACACCTGCGACATTACTTTATTAATTAATTTCCATGCCCGAGGATGGCTGTAAGTACAGCTGAAAGTACTAGGGAAATAAAAAAAATACCTTATACAATTCGAAGTTATTAAAAACAACATCGAGAGGTTCGTGGTTAATGTAACTTTAATAAATTTGTTTGCGAAGATGTTTTTCGCCATTTATATCATTAAGTTTACTAATCTACTTTTTGTATGAATGATTCATGTAATATAAATTGAACTGCACCACATATTTTATATATATATATATATATATATATATATATATATATTCTGGCATGCAAAGCTTTTGTGCCAACTAAACAAAATGATTATACACCTTTATTTTATTAAGAAGTTAAGATTGTTATCCGTATCGACTCTAGTGTCTGTGGACCTTAAGGGCGGTAAAATAAGTTGTTGCGTTTTCTTGGGGGGTGGGCGAGTAACAGAAGATACATCGCTTCAAACAGATTGAAGCTAAAAAAAAGGTCAAACTAAACTATTGGGCCAATGAAAGATATGAGATGACAAAAAATCATGATAGTAGGCAAACACTGGAATTCTAGGAATTTTTTCCATTCTTCGTAACGTGAGTTTAAGTTGCTTTGGCAAGTCAGTTTAGTTGAACATTAAAATTTCTGCTAAAACAAAGATGAAAGGGGGAGATGCGTCAACGAGAGATAAGTCAGGTGGTTGGGAGATTTCCATAAATAGTGTCCAAACAATTCGAAAGATGTTTGGTTCTACTGGAAGAGTTTTAAGGTCAAAGTAAACTGGAAGATGACAGAAATTAAACAAAAGAGACGAAAGAAATATTGTGAGAATCTCGGAAGGCAAACCCAAATTAATAGTGGATGTAGCACAAGGTCGAATGAGAGGGGCACACAGTGAGGATCGAACTCACTATTCCGTCGTAACTGCTCTAGCGAGACAAGTTTGCTAACCGCGTCCTGGGTATGACGATAAACTACATCCGCGTCCAGAGTAAGACAATGAACTACGTCCAACAGAAAGACCTCTGATCAGGAAGTTTTGAGGAGCGTGGAACCTCCTCTTAATTGCTGGTGTTCCCAGGTCCACCCTGACCCGGGGTGGTAGCACCTGTTAGGGTCCCAGCTATGGGCAAATATTTAACCCAAAAACTGAGGTAAAGGGCATTATAAAAGTGTAAAATAGGTTTTAATACCAGAAATACTTTGTAAGAAATTATTACAATAGCAGCAATATGCTTTTGAAAAAAACTATTACCAGCAATACGTTTTTGAAAAAATATTACCAACTACACGTTTTGAAAAAAATACTATTATCAGCTATACGTTTTTGAAAAAATAATATTACCAGCTATACGTTTTTGAAAAAAATAATATTACCAGTTGTACATTTTTAATGAAAAAAATATTAACAGAAATAGATTTTTGATAAAACAAAAATATTACAACATTAAATGGTCCATTGAGGTTGATATGCCGTAAAACAAAACAAACCAAACCAAACTTGCTAACCATTACGGTGCCTCAAGTTGCCCAGTGATATTCCAAGCGTAGATTAGATGTGGCAAAAGGCCGAAAGTGTGGGGCACCCAGTGAGGATTGAATTCATTACTCAGTTGTAATGGTTTTAGCAAAAACAGCTTTATAACCATTACATCACGTTGAGGTCCTCATGCTGTTTTAATGATAAGGTTTCAGTTAATACAGGACGCAGAATATTACGAAATGACAATCTGAACGGCCATAAATGATAAACATCATTAACCAAACAAAAACATTGGAATAGGAGATTGAAGTGGTCAACACCATATCTAATATGGGTGGCTGGAAAGTAGCAAAAATTGATTTTTAGTGATCATTACAAAATACAGTTAGATTCTAAAGCAGGAGAATATGTAAGACGACCTGTGGGAGAAGGAAAAATGCAAGATGCACTGCAAAGACAGTAAAACTTGGTGGTGGACACATAGTGTTATGGGGTTGCAGCAAAAGAGATAGTATAAAATTGGTAAAACTTGATGAAAACCTAAACTGTGAAAACTATATTAGTTTAATACGTTCTAATCTTTTGCCAGACTATGAAGTTGGAGAAAATATTCAGCCTGCCGGTGTTCCTTGTCACACATCGCGTACAACAAAAAGGTTTCTTGTGAATGAAGATGCTTAACTTCTGGAAGATTGTAGGGCACAAACTACTGATCTCAAGTTGTTTGGACACTATTTATGGAAATCGAATTGTTTGGACACTATTTATGGAAATTGAACCATTGTGGTGGGAACTGAAGAAATAAG